AGGCGACGTCGCAAATTGTGTGACGGAAATTTACTGTCAGTGTGTCAGAATTTGCTCCTGGCACGCACCGGCTACTGGAACCGAGCGATGCCTGTTCCTGAAGTGCTCGCAAGCAAACCCTCTTGCAAGCGGTCCCAAGGCGGCGACTGATCCCAGCCCTGCGCACCGTCAAGGTGAAAAGGAGGGCTACGTTTCATTCACACGACCGTTCGCACTAGCCATGTCTGCTAGCAATAAGCCGGTAGTGTCAGGGAACAGGTGATGTCAGAAGAGAGAACGAACGTGCCGTGGGTCAATCATGCCTCGCTGAGCCTGCTGCCTTGCCTGAAGGATGATGCGTTGTACGAAGGACATGCCGCGACGGCGACAATACTGCGACAGGATTGGATCAACACGATCTTCACGCAGTCACGAGGCCGATGAAACGACAAGGCGGTAACGCGCGAGTTCGTGTTTCTTCTCCCCCCTGCTCATTAAGTGACCAGGATCAGCGATGTTTCGGCGTGCTTTAGCTTATGCACAAGCCAGGAGCCACCCCTTTCCTGCTCATCAGCCCAACGCCTCTTTCACCGCTTGGGCCGTGCCATGCCCTGCCTAGCATTATTACACACATCGTCAAAGTACGTAGCTGACCGACATTTTGAGGGTCTGCAATCTGAGCACAAACATAAATACGTTGACCCCCCACCATCGGAGAGTTCGTTTCATCATCCAGAGCCGAAGACTACTACCACTACCACTACTACTACACTACCAACCAACACTACAACAATCTACTCAACACTTCCGCTCTACACAAGCCTACTAGCTTCACCTTCAACTCAATACAATGGCCGCCATCATCTACGAGGAGTCCAACATGGGATCGCAAAACCTCCCACCCTGCCCTGGCCCACCACCAACCCGCCCTCTGCCTCCTGTTCCATCCAAATAGACATCGACATGAACATCAACTCACACGTCTGTCTTGCTCGACTTACACACACTTGGCTTTGGCGCACCACAACATCGATATCAACTCCGCATCCTTACCCGAACATCCACCGCACCCCACCCTAATACTCTACCAACCGACATCGACCCGCACCTTGCCGCCTGGTCTGCCGCCATCATGCAGTGCATCTGCAGCACCCAGTACGATCTGATCTTGGACGCACTACGCGCCCTAGACCTCGAACAACTCCCTGTCACTCACCTGACATCCGCCGCGAAATCCGGTTAAAAGCAGCCTACGCTTGTCTTTGGAGAGCGATCCCACACCACTTCCGCCTTGCATGACGAGCCTCCACATGACGGCCTGCAGCCATGTGGCATTGCTGCATCTACCAGGACCTGCTCGTCTGCCTCACATCGGAGCATGGCTACGACTGCATGTCCAACACACGCTGGCTCGGGTGTCCGGAACGATCCTTCTTTATAGACGCCTACTTCATTTTGGCACATACACACCGCAGTCCTTCTAATATTGAGCGTATTACTTGCTTTGGAACATGCATTAGTTGGCGCTTGGGATTGGCTGTGTGGCATCATAGCATCATTAGCTTTTGGAGTTCTATTACTGGTTAGGCGGCATCACAGCCAGGAGGAATACCCAATATCGTCTCATAGCATTAATCATTTGATCTCAGATCAACTACACGCATACCTTGTCTTTTGTTGCATGTGAAACCCGGGTGCCAATCATCGCCACAGCATGCTCCTGATCACTAATCGCGTCGGCAGTCGACACTGAAGGCGTTGGGGCTTGAAGTGAACGTCTCCTGGGCGCAAGGCATCTTCCGCTAACATGGCTGCCCAGTTGTCTAGTTCCCGTGCACACCACCATTGCTATCCGCTAAGGCACATGGCGGTGATAGGACGCGCCGGTGGTTGACAAGCGCGGCAGCATGTCAGAGAGCCACCAGGATTGCAACCTCCACAATCAGGCACCTGTACATCACAAGCGCTTGGTGGTACACACGTGGGCTGTGTGTGACGTAGTCCTGACAGGTCGAATAGAGAGCCAATAATGCGAGTCGTTTACCTGCGATGCAGATTCAGGTGTCCCGCAGCTACCGAAACCTTCCGTGTGACCGGTTCACCTTGAAATCACGGCACCACCCCGGCTTGTGCAGGAACGACGATACTTGCCGCCGCTTCATCTTGCAACGCTAATCAGCAGGACAGATGCGGTGTCTGAATGCGAATATTGGCAGGGCTCTAGTCTGTGGTTTGGCTCGGTTGCGCCTGCCTGCCTAGCTCCAACGACGGCCGTGAAGCCCTTCAGGCACAGGTGCATGCTGCCAGGAGCCCTGGCCTGCTTTCAGCTGAGGCAGATGACTCCTCTGCGTATAGCCAACCACCGCTGCATCGACTACCACACGCTAACCCAGCACCGTCTGTCGCCATAACAGCTTCGCATGTTGCACGACTTCACCGCTCTGCCAGACGTGCCCGCAGCTGCGCAGCCGTTAGCGGTATGCGTCGCATTGCACTACCCCTCTGCTATCATGGCCAACAACAGCCTGCGCATCGCGCGGTTACACAGGAAGTACCATTGTGTGCCTACGCCGCAAATTGACGCCAATCTCCGCCCCTCCGAGCGGGTCCGGGCACACCACGTTGGGGGCAGCCACACCAGAGTCGTACGCCGCAGCACCCTGACGGTGTTTGACCTTTGATACTCGGATGAGTATGCCGACGTTCGCAGTGGGCGACCAAAGACGGCTCGGGCCCAGGCGTATACAGTTTGCACTTGTCTGCGCTGCTGACTGGGAGTCCCTCGGTTTCATGGCACCTCTCATTTGCGAATTGACTTTGAGCAACACCGACGTCCTTCGTCCTCTGCATTTCCGTGTCATTGGCAGAAGGCATCAAGGCTGCATTCCGGTCTGATGAATACGGACCTGAGCAACCATGCAATCGGTCCTCTGCACGCACACAGACCCATCGCTTAGCTATCAAATTGCTCTCGCAAACACCGATGATGCTAAGAACAGCTCTGTCAGACGTCAACTCAATCCATCCTGCAAGAAGCGAGGCATCCATGTACGCCATCGGCTGACGCAAGCTGCGCGTTGCCGTGTGTACAACGTGTGGAAACCTGCAGTCGTCCTTCGATACATCAACTTTCACGCACGCAAGCGCATATCAATCACACGTCCATGCAAGCCCTCTGCGTGCGTCCAAGTGCTTGCTGAATCCCTGGCAGATCATTGACTCACGCCCGCATTCCACAAACCACGTTGCTTTTGTTGCAGATCGTGGGTCCTGCGGGCAGAGTATGCAGCCTGCAGCCTTATTTTTCCTTGATGCCTACCGCGCCCCGAGCGCTGGCAAAGTCCGCTGTCAATCAACCCACTCAGTCGGCCTTTCTTAGTAGATCGTCGGCGACTTGATCACTCGCTCTGACTCACCTCCAGCGGTGTACCCAAGCTGTCACCGTTACGACACGGACGCCGTTGCAATTTGGCCGATGTCCCATGTCGCAACCGGGTTCTCGGATCCCATCGCGCAAAAGGGAAAAGCCGTTGAACCTATAGCTGCCGGCTACCGCTGTAAAACCCTTACATGGCTCACCGCTGTATAGGTCAGGTGGATGCTACAACGCAGCATGTGTGAGGAGGATTTTTAATCTTGTGACTTCCAAGGTTGTTATGTGGGAATTGCGATATTCGCCTTGTTCGCCTAACATCACACTCCTTTCGGTGATCATTACGCAGATTCACCATCAGCCAAGCACTGCGGCTGTAAGCGAACCGCCTCGCAGCGACCTCAATGGAAGACCCCAGCACGGTAAACGTTCAGTCCGGTTGATCAAGCTCGGCGAAATCATTTCTTCCACATGTTTGCTCGCCGAGCACACAAACGATTTTCATCGTAATACCTCCGTCACCTTGAGCATCACCGACAAATTTCCGCCGACTTCATGGAGATCTCCCAAACAGGCCGTATACAATATTCCTCTTTATTTGCGTACCATTATGCATGATATGCAATGCCTGCAAGATAGAGTGTCAAAACAAGGATGGACGTCCTCCTTGCCCGTCACTTGCGCAATCTGTTTCGCAGGCAACAAGGCATTCGTGGACAATAATATCCCACACCCACTCTTTCCCACACAATCGTGTGTGTGTAGCTCTGTCGATCAAACAGCAGCGTCCTGAACATGCCGTTCATGCACGTCGTCCAATACGGCAAAGTGGATTCTCTCGCCACCACGTCTGACATCTGAAACAAGTACAGCCATTAATCGCGCCATGATTCAATATTGCCACGCCTATTACCACCGCCTTTGCCGCTGGCCTCGGACATTGCTTGCTGACTTGCATGGTCTGCTCCGGAGTAAAGTGTGAGAGAGTTTCTGCTTCAAACTGTGCCTCGGTATTTGCATAGGCGGTGCCTGTGGCTATTAGCCGGGTCTACGAGTTTGAGGCGTGTAAGGTTAGATTCAGCCTATCTTTCAGGCATCAAAGAATCTTGCGTTGTTGTGAGCATGGCTGCCACACTGTAAGTTCGACTAACTGAGCTATACGGTATCAACGCGTCTTGGAGGACGTATGCAAGGAACACCCCACGCTCCATCTGCAAGATGCTGTATCCGGCTGAAGTGCTGTATATTGCCCTCACTACACACCAGCTGCATATGCTGATCATCGATTGTCGGCGTACTTGCTCTAGACCTGTGGGGGATCTATCTGGGGTGTCAAGCGGACCTTTCGCTCGCGTTCAGACATTTTGCGATTTTGATCTTGAGATGTCGTTGCAATGTAGTTCGTGGTCCTGATGCACAGCCACAGGCGCCACATGGAGGTTGAGATCATGTCGTACGAGCGGACCAATCAATCTGATTCGCGCCTCGGGAATCTTGGAAGTCCAGCTGCGATACAGCGCACTGCATGCGGGGCGTATGCTCAGCGCAACGCCCGCTTGGAAGACGATCCTACATACAGATATAGGTCTTCCTCTTCCTCATCATTTCTGCTCAGCTATCGCGTTTCGTATTGCGCGCATAAAGAAATATGGAACTCGTCGATTGGTTGAACTCCATGGCGGAGTTTGGTGAGTGGGCTGGTGGACGCAAGCCAGTGACGAAGAAGTCGGATGCGCTGCGCTTCGGCGTTTTGGGGGCTGCCAAGATTGCGTACGTCTACGCTCTACTGTCTCCGTCCACAACAGAACGTCAAGATGAGACTTGAAGCTAAAACATATGGTCGAACAGTCCATTAGCTTTGATCATCCCAGCGCGGTCACATGCAGAGATCATAGTCGTTGCTGTTGCAGCTAGAGATAAGACGAAAGCGGAGGCTTATGCGAAGAGATGGGACGTGCCAATTGTTCATGACAGCTATGAAGGTAGGTAGCCCATCTCGTGGCATCTCTTTAGCCAGGAAGCATCGGACATGAATGCCTCGAGCTACCGCAAGGTCACACTAATCTGTTGTAGCGCTCATCAACGATCCATCCATTGATTGTATATACAATCCCCTCCCCAACGGCCTTCACTACAAATGGACGCTCGCGGCCCTCAAAGCAGGAAAGCACGTCTTACTAGAGAAGCCTTCAGTGTCGAACGCACAAGAGGCACGCTCTCTTTTCCATCATCAAGTCCTCGATGCTCCGAATGCTCCGGTCCTTGTTGAAGCAAGTCACTATCGCTTCCATCCCGCGTGGCATTTCTTCCTGGCGCAATTCGAAAAGCAGAATATAGAGAAAGCAAGTGCTCGCGCTGGAGTGCCGAAAGGAGGTATCCCAGCGACGGATATCAGGTTTGAATACGATCTTGCTGGTGGCGCTGCAATGGATCTAGGACACTACACCCTCTCCGCGCTACGAGGCGTATTTGGGACTGAGCCCACAGAAGTCACTTCAGCAACACCCCGCCTCATACACGCACCAAACGATCAACGCTGCGACCAAGCCATGGAAGCTACCTACACCTTTTCCAACGGGGGCACTGGCTATATCTCAGCCGACCTAGGTGCCCGAGGTGGTTACTGGTTCCCATGGCTAACATCCAACTGGCCCAGCTTCCGAGACCTGCTCGCCTGGATCTCCGTGACTCTACATCCTGAAGACCTTGGTGTCGAAGGCGGTCTACAAAAGTCTAGTCAGAAGGTACTTATCTTCTCAGGTTTCATGAGTCCGCATGCCTACCATCGTATCGACATCACTACAACCACCACATTGCGCGACCCCACCTCTGGCAATATCGTCAAACAAGAGAAGAAGACCGAACACAAAACAGCATACAAGTGGACTGAGGGTATGGGCGGCGAAGAAAGGGGACAGAATTGGTGGACATCGTATCGGTACCAGCTTGAGGAGTTTGTGAACAGGGTCAAAGGCAGAGAGGGAAGTGGTGCCTGGGTGGATGGCGAGGAGAGCATCAGGCAGATGGAGGCTACGGATCGGACGTATGAGAAAGCTGGTATGTCGATTAGGCCTACGAGTGCGGAGCTGGAGTGAGGAGATTTGGCGATGCTGTGTTGCGTCATCGTTCCTGTAGCTAAGCCCGGATGAGGCTACTGATTGGAACTCGGGGTAGCACTCGGGGTAGCACTCGGGGTAGCCGAATAAACCCAATCTTACAATGGCGCATGTGTATGTATTTTTTATGCATACTTGACTGATTTGTTCGGAGATGCGTAGCCCCTTGGCCCTTTCGAGCATCGTTCAAAGGAGCGAAGGCGCGATGTTGCACCACCGCCCAACCTCACAAACACAGCCAGCCACCCCACTTACGCATCGCAGAAAACCCTCACCGCACGATAAGACAGTAAGCAGATAGTCCAAAGCAGCAAGGTAGATACCAAGCAGCGACAAGCTTCACCAAGCCTGCACAAGCCTTGCGTCTACCTGCCTGACTAGGCATCGCTCGCTGCACCCAGCGTGCCTTGCCCCGCTTTTGAGGTACAGAGGAACATGACGCGATGGCGAGCTCAGGTTCCGAAAAGCCGAGTTTGAGGGCCGTATAAAAGCGATGCGGTACTTCCAAAGCTCACTGGTACGTCGACTGAACAGAGGCTTTGAGAATGAGGTTTCTGACATTGGTCTCCAGTTTCGTGGCGCTGGGGTCTGCGGGTCCGGCTAAGACTTGGACGCCATGGATGGATAAGAGACAGGCTGGTGATGCGCCGGCTTATGAGGCGCATACCATTGATCAATTGGTTCGTCGTTATGCTTTCCGTTGGCTGCTGGTCTTTTGCTGATTGTTGTGGCAGATTGATCATTTTCCGGATAGCGATCGGTATCTTCCACATACCAATGCCACGTTCACGCAGCGATATGGTATATTTAACACCGCTATCTACGTTTACAGCCTGAGCTTACTTTTTTGTACAGTTTTCGATTCGTCATACTACAAGCCTGGAGGGCCAGTATTCCTCTACATTGGCGGGGAGACGAGCGTAGAGTCGCGTTTCTCTAACTTGCAGACTGGGAGTAAGTCATCAGCACAAACCACCGCGATACCTCTTTTCGGGTAACTGATTGGTTTGTGTAGTCATCCAGATACTCATGGAAAAGTTCAATGGCCTTGGGGTGATTCTTGAGAATCGTTACTATGGCGAAAGCTACCCTTACAACTCTAGTACGACGGATGAGCTGAGGTTTCTGACTACAGAGCAGAGTAAGTGATGCCCCAAATCTCGATGGTTCTATGTCCTGATGCGTTCTAGCTATTGCCGACAACGCCTACTTCAGACAACATGCCACCTTCCCAGGCATCAACGCTAGTCTGAGCAGCGCCGACACCCCATGGATCATGTACGGTGGTTCTCTTGCTGGTGCCCATACCGCATTCACCATGAAGACATACAATGATGTCTTTGCCGGAGGTATTGGTAGTAGCGCCACTGTCCAGGCTTTGCTCGAATACCCCCAATGGTACAATCCCATCATGAAGTTTGGCCCGGCGGACTGCATCTCCAGGATTGTCGACATTGTTGACAAGATTGATGAGCTCATCTGGAGTGGGAACAAGGAAGGCATTCAGCAGCTCAAGGACATCTTTGGTCTCGGAGCCCTGCAAGATCTAAGAGACTTTGCTATGACAATTGCGTTCCCGATTGGTGGTCCCATGAATTATCCGACCAATACCTGGCAAGAGCTCAGTAAGTAACTGCATTCCACAGTTCAGTGATAAATCAGCAACTGATCTTTAATCAGACTGGTCCGACCGCTACGGCTCCAAAGACTTCTTTAGCTTCTGCGGCAATGTAACGCAAATCAATCCACCGGAAAACACCAGCAGCGTCGACATGGCGCTTTCTAAGTACACCAATGGCGAGCCTTGGACTGGATTAGGTGGATATGCCGACTACGTCAAGAAGACGCTCATCCCAACCTGCGAGAGTGGCCGGATAGACAGCACAGATAATGGCTGCTTCGGCACGCAAAACCAGACATACTACGCCGACCCCACAAACGGAGCTGCGCGCTCATACCTCTACTCAACCTGTTCCGAGTCTGGCGGTTACCAAGTGGCGCCCACAAACGGCCCCTCCCTCATCTCTCGCGTCCTCCAAATCGACTACACCCAGCAATGGTGCACCTGGGCCTTTCCACCCGGCGAGCACAACAGCATCCCCGCCACTCCCGCGTTGCACTACTACAACAAATACGGAGGCTGGGATCTTCAAGCTGAGAATCTCGCTCTTATCGACGGAAACACAGATGTCTGGCTCGATCTGTGCTACCATTCAAACTTGGCGGCTCAGCCTAGGATCAGCAGCGATAAGTATCCGAATTATCTGATTGCGGGAGCTGGACATCATTGGGATAGCTATGGGATTAAGAATGTCAGCGCTGAGCCGAACTATATCAGAGAGGCGCATTATTGGGAGGAGAGGACTGTGAGTCTATTCTTGCAGTTCTGGGCGGAGAAGGACCATTATGTTGGGACGAACTGAACATGGGTCTTTTGCGTGTAGAACTGTGTACTGTCTGGAAAGTCGATATCAATGACCCCCACTTTCTTTTGAGGCGTTTGGGCGAACGCGGGGTAGTCGAGGACCCTGAAAATGTGACTTGACAGGGGACTCCACGCTTTTGCATGTGATGCGCCGCGGATACAACCTTATTTTGTGAGTCTTATGCTGCTTAAGTCATCTTCCAGATTTCAACACAACAACAGTCATTGATGCTCGCCATTCCAGCTTGTTGGCGATGTGGAATGATGCGTGCGCGTTCCAATGCTGGTGTTTGCCACTGTGGGTCGCCAGGGGCGCGCTAAGTGGCTTTTGTCACCGCTTGGCTTCATCAAACAGCAGCCTCATAGCTTTTTGCTACACCACCATGCGTTTGTGCCATTGACACTGACCACCGTCTTTGAATTTGTCGATTCAGTCTTTCCTTTTCAGCACTGCACAGTGCTTGTTTCCTGTTCGTTCTAGCGGGCGCTAGCCGTTGCTATCGTTATCGACACATCGCGACAACACCAGCACCGAGCCTGTCAAATCATCAACGGAATGGGCAAACTGGCTTTTCCGCTCGACAAAGAGCTCACGGGGCCGGATAGGGTTGTTCTGAATATACTGCAGAAGGAGTACGAGCTGCATGAGGCCAGGCCTGCAGAATCATCGACAGACGCAGTGGAAGATTCAGATGACTCGGGTGTCAAGCATTCTGAGATTGTGACGCCGTCACCAGAGGGTCAGTACTCATTTCGGTCGACAATCAATGCCTCGGAAGCATGCAATATCGACATGCGCTTCTGATGCGACCAATGACTAACTTTGTTTAGATCTACAAGACCAGGAACAACAGGCGATTGCTTACCTCAAGAAGCTTAATGACCCCAAATCCGACAGCTTCGAGACCAGTGTCTTTAGCTCTGTGGATGAACCGGACATCAAGAACCCTCTTCTTCGCCAATGGATCATTGATCCCTACATCCAATGGGCGAAGAAGGTTGTCCGAGTCGAGACGGACGTTATCATGGTCACGCATCTGCTGCTCTACTTCTGCACCAGCATTCCGTCAGCCGCATACTTGTACATCAATTTCCATTGGTGGCACGCTGTCCTCCATTGCGTCATGCAAGGCTACTATATGGGAGCATACACTCTTCTGAAACATCAGCATATCCATATGCGCGGTGTCCTCAGCAAGAAGTATGACTTTGTCGATCGGCTGTTCCCATACATTCTCGACCCAATGATGGGTCACACATGGAACTCGTACTACTATCACCACGTCAAGCATCACCACGTTGAAGGCAACGGACCCAACGACCTTTCTTCCACTATCCGCTACCAAAGGGACAGTGTTTGGGACTTCGCGCAATACGTTGGTCGATTCTACTTTCTGATTTGGCTCGATCTGCCGATGTACTTCTTGCGTACACGCAAGCCTAATCTCGCGCTTCAAGCTGCGGGATGCGAGATCGGTAACTATGTCTTCCTGTACTTGATGTACAGCTTTGTCAATGCCCGTGCGACGACGTTCGTGTTCTTGATCCCTCTCGCTTTCATGCGCTTGGCTTTGATGACTGGCAACTGGGGACAGCATGCTTTCGTTGACGAGGTCGAGCCGGACTCCGACTTCAGGTCGAGTATCACCCTCATTGATGTACCTGTAAGTTGACATTCATCCGATTTGGCCACTTTCGAATATTCCGCTTACGTTATGATAGAGCAACCGATACTGTTACAACGATGGCTACCACACCTCTCATCACCTTAACCCGCTCCGCCATTGGCGCGAGCACCCGGTTGCCTTCCTTTCGCAAAAGAAGCAGTACTCCGATGAACAAGCAATCGTCTTTTACAACATCGACTACTTCTTCCTGACGGTCAATCTGTTGAGAAAGAACTACGAGCATATCGCCAAATGTCTTGTACCCATGGGCGATCAGATGAAGCTTACGCTTGACGAGAAGGTTGAGATGTTGAAGCGCAAGACACGGAAGTTTACCGAAGAGGAGATCGCAGAGAAATGGGGCAAGCAGTATGCCAAGTTGAAGTAGGGGTAGATTACAATGGTTGGTAGACGTATATAATTCTTTTACGCGTTCAGGAACCATCATCACCGCTCGGTGTCGATGACACGACAGATGTGAAGGCATCACGACATTCCGTCGCTCTTGCTCTATGAACCCACGTGCTAGCGTGCAGCACCTGCCCCGGCATGTTCGCTCACCATATCATTCGATGTTGGTGCCGATCACTATCCATCGTCGCAACAACACCCTACACCCATCACTACTCCACTTCCAGCAATGGCGAATTCCGGGAGACTACCTTTCGATCAGAGCTTGTTCGTCGCGACACCTAACGCGATTTATTTGAGATCGCAGCTCGCCCGGAAGAAGCTGTTCGAGTGCGAAACCGCTAACGGCATAGTCAACGCTCGTGCCTCAAAAGACAACAGTAGCCTCTTTGCTGTAGCAGACGGCCAGGTCGTGATACTACACGACGCCACTCGAAGCAGAGACAGGAAATACAAACTGAAGAACGGCGATGTGTGGCATGCTCACGGATAAGAACAGGTTCATGAACTGACACTAGCATAGGGCGAGCCACGTCTTCTTCTGTTCTCACCCGACTCGCGCATCCTCTACTTCACGACAACACTGAGCAACTCAGTTCAAGCATACTCTATAGCAAACGACGAGCTTCTGCCTTCCCTACCATCACATCCGTCTCCGCCGAACGCGATCGCAATATCCAGTAATGGCACCGTCCTCCTTTCAGCCTCTCCGAGCCCACCAACTATTTACCTCCAAGACCAACGATGGGGACGCAGCGCAGCGGTGAACTTTCGTCCGACAGACGCACGTTCGGCTGCTACGTGTGCTGCGTTCCAACAGCCAGACGGTCCTGCACAGCTGTCGTATACCAACTTCGTGATTGGATTTCAAGACGGGCTATTAGCGATGTACCGCCTGTTTCTACCTTCACTGCGAAAACGTTCCGAAGACTCGCGTGTACATCAACCGCAATTCTTCCAGTTACAGCCCATTCGAGTCGGTGTCATCAAAAAGCTTCATAAGCCGGCCATGGGCGGTATGCTGGCAGCGGAGTTCCTACCAGGCTACAAGTCGCGGGTTGTTAGCATTAGGCATGAAGGGAAATGTCGACTTGTCGACTTTGAAGGAGGTGGGAAGATACTGCGGACATAGCATGTCTCAGGCCCGGCTACTTGTTTGTCTGTTTCAGCGCAAGGCCCAGTACGCTCGAAAGGTCGGGCAGATGGGGCGGTGTTATTGAGCGGTGATGCGGCAGAAGATGTTAGAGAGGTATATGAGGGCGTTGAGACTCTGATCGCGATCGGTACACAGGCGGGGAAAGTTCTCATATTCAACATCCTGGGCCTACTGATACATGAAATCGCACTGGGAGTTTCCGTTACAGCCGTCGAATGGGTCGGCGATATGACGGCACCTTCTCTCCTCCCGATTCGCGGATCGTCACTATCCCCCGAGCCTCATCCGGTTGTCGATATTATCGAAGCAGAGCAACCGACATCCTCGGATGAGGGAACAGGTACTGTCAAGAAGGTCGCATCGTCTCACAAGCAAGCTGTGACAAGCAGGCCAATCCCCATACGACCTCCACTAGATCTGTTCTCAGATGAACCAAGAGAGCCCAAATCCAGAGTTCCTAGTCGGAGAACTTCAGATGTGTTGCGAGGCTCACCCCTACGCGTCGAGCGAGCGCGCGAAAGACCCGTAAAGAAGGCTTTGGTGCGACCGCGAGTCTCCATTGAGACCTTTGAATCGCCTCCACGTCCTTCTGCTAGTGGCGTACCTGATACCAAAGTAGCACATTCCTTTTTCAGAGCGGATCCTTCGATTCACGAAAGCCGAAGATGGCCACAGGTACATCCGGCGCCAAGTTTGTCAACGCCTATGCGAGCACAAGCCTGCTCCGCCTCCCAAAGATCCGCCAGCTCGTTTCAGGAGTCCGAGTTTTCAGATGAAGACCAGGAGTGGTTTACACCTCCCTCTACGCGAAGATGCAAAGGGAAAGTTCCACGGCGTGATCTGAGTCCAGACTCATCTCCGACCGCGCCAACACTCGCGTCCATACGCCCGATACCCTTTATAAAAACCTCACCTACTGCTTTCGATACGCCTAATAGAAATTACTCTCGTCCAATCTCCCGGAAAATGAAAGAACGATCTGGTACACATCAAGAAGCAATGGTGGAAGGATCGAGAAGCTCAGTGATCGTACCGAAGGCCGCTGGACGCCATGTCACCGTCCTTGACCCAGAACTATCATCGCCTTTCGATAGCCCGAGCAGTCTGTACTCGCGGGCCACTACGTCAATGTTGGAGAGAGTCCCGGTAGGGAAGGCAAAAGAGCATAGTGCTGACCAGCGGCCTGCTCTCCCAGTAGGACGTAAGACTCCAGTGTTGAAACCCGCGCTTGTCAACGTCGATGCACATCCAGAACTGACCAGCAGTGCATGCTCATCTGCAACTTCAACGCCGAGCAGTATCATAGCCGCATGTTCCAATCGAAAGTCCACCGACATAGCAGGCTTGAGCGAGTTGAAAACAACGCCGTATACTCCACCGAGCCGCGTAGTCGCCACCATCGCTGCAGGCTCCTCTTCATCTTCGCTAGATGTTCTTTACTCTCTTCCAACCCAACCAAAGGCCGAGATAACCTTCGTGCAAAATCATAGCCCTCGCACTCCGGCGACTGCGAAACATAGGCAGCTCACGCCGAGTTCGCTCGACACACGAGCGGATTCCCCGAGCAGTGTGTACTCACGCTCCATCTCCGGCATGGCTGGAGGCGCAAGCCATGCCAACGCTGTCATTGAAGACACCGATCAGTCAGCATCGTCAAATGCGCCCATGACACCGCAACATCAACTCAGTATCCACGCGCTGGGTACGCCGATGTCTACCAGCTCGCCGACTAGTCTGTACTCGCGGCCTACACCTCGTATGTTT